TTTAAATGGAGTTGGCTTAGAAGACATTCTTACGATCCTAAATTTATTGATTCTCAAAAAATTTTAAATGTGCAAGTATCAATAAATTTTAATTTTTATTATTACATCATATCCTGAATAAATTTAAATTTAAATTTAAATTATTATAGAAAGACTTTATGGAACGCAGAAATCAAAAAAGATCCACCAATTGTTAAATATACAGATGTTTGTTGAATTTAATTTTCGCATATAATAACATAATAACGTTGAATTTGTGGCTATAATAAATGTAAATTAATAATATTTATTCTACATTTTATTATTAGGTTATGAATAAAAAAGAAGGGTTAACAAGCTTGCTCAAAAACATTGTATGCATTTTATTATTATTTCCTTGATTATATAATAGGATTTAATTTTTAATTAATTATTTAAATATAGAATGAATTTGGTTTTTGTTTTACCGATGGTGTCCCACATATGGTTAAGGAAACGGAAGAATTAGCAAGACGAATTTGCTTTATTCGTGAAACCCATTATGGTATCTTATTTAAACAGTCGGTGATTTATTTTTTCCCCCGTATATTAAATATATGAATAATTTTTAATTATAGGTGGATTTTGGGATTTCACGGCAGATTTAGAACACGGAGATACCGCATATACAAACCTTCCTTTAAAAGTGCACACAGATAATACATATTTTACAGATCCATCAGGGTAAATCATATAATTAATTAAGTCAAACAAAAAATTAATATTACTCATATTATTAAATTATATATATATATATATTTTTTTTTTTTTAGTCTTCAAATGTTTCATTTAATCGAGTTTGATGGTGTAGGTGGTTCTTCTTTGTTAGTGGACGGTTTTAATGTAGCTAATCAGCTAAAAATGAAATCTCCTATCGCCTATAAAACACTCTCTACAATTAAAATTCCAACACACTCAGCAGGTGATATAAATACATTAATTCAGCCAACTCCTAATGCATATCCAATTTTAAATCATGATTATTTTAATTCTCTTTATCAAATTCGTTATAATAATGATGATCGATCCACAATGAATAATTTGGAACCTGATCAAGTTTTAGAATTTTATGATGCACTAAGAGAATGGAATAATTTATTAAAAGCTGAATCTAATGAATATCGATTTCAATTATCTCCAGGAAGAGTTATAATTTTTGATAATTGGAGAGTATTACATGGTAGAGATAAATTTAGTGGCCATAGAAGATTGATTGGGTGTTATCTGAATTGGGATGATTATCAAAGTAAATTAAAAGTTTCAACTTTAAGTCAAGAAGAAATTTTAGAAAGTTTGTAGATTATTTTAAAACCTTCTTAATAAAATATGTTAATATTTCGTGTTAGGTATTAATTCACCTTTGGATTATTAGTTTATAAACTATCTTAAATTTCCACTAGTTTTTTTTTTGGAAATTTTAATAATATAGTAGATTCAACTAACATTTTAGTCTGTTAAAAAGACATTTTATACGTTAAAGAATTTAAATCTTTAATAAAGTTATTTAGTTTAGTTTATCACTCGTTTAATTTTGACCGGGTCTAATACAAAGTCCTATAGAGATGTTGTGTGATTCATCCTAGATATTAAAGCGAAACAATACTGTTACAATATATACAGAGTTGACATTTCGATGCTCAATTGAGAACTTTTAATATTAAATCTTACTTATTTATTATAAAAATATATTCAGTTTTTAACTAATAACATATGTTTAAAAAGTTGCAAATAAAATATGGGATCTTTGCCTTGAACATGACCTTACGGGACATAGTAAATCATATGATCCAAACGTGATTTTCAAGGCAAATGATTTTTCTTATATATATATATTTATGGGCTGATTATATACTGTATGTATTGATTTTCAGAGTAGCATTTCTTTCAAATATGAAATAATAAATTTATACCTTAGATATTATAAGCGTAATTTAATGAGTTCTGATTCTAAAAGTGTACTTACTTACTATCTATGTAATCGATTCTTGATGTTTCAGTTATAAAAAAAGAAAATTTTTTATATAACGATTATATCTCATTTATACAATTTGTTTTGAGAAAATAAAGTTAGTAATTAGTTAAATTTATCTTCTTAGTAATTACTGTAGTTCAATTTATAATCTGTTTATAAAGAAGACAGAAGGTAGTGTACATTAAATCTCGAGAAATTGTTGATAATTTACAATAAATCTTTAGGGAAGCATAATTTAACAATTTAAAAAATCTTAACAGTTTCTTTTATTGAATCTCAATACAAGTATATATAATTCATTGTAAAGCGAATGAATTTTTTATAACTAATATTTTTAAAATCTTGGCGAATTTGAATTTAGCAAATAGATTTAAGCAGAGACCTGCTTACAACTTTCTATTGATTATGAGACTTAATAAAAACAAATTAGGATATCTAATTATAATTTACATATAGATTAAACAGTTTAAACGAGCTATTTCTGTGAAGTGCGTTACCTAATCAAACTCAAACCAGTTGTATGAGACTGTCTATAACGCATCACAGAGGTGAAAAATTGAACTAATCTAGACAGTTTGACTTAGAATGATAATGGCTTAAATTCCAAACTAAGTCATTTTTAAATTCCATAATTACTACATATTATTTGTGAATTTAATGTTTGTGACTAGCGCTACGTAGAATTATTAAATTTGATAATACAGTACGTACGTTCGATATCGATATCAATGAGATAACAAATAAGGAAATCAAAACCTATGTTCCATGCCTTATATTTCTGTTTCCCATGCATGTCTCGCCTATCAGTTCCATTGAGGATTGGACCGGATAAAAATTTCTGTTATATGGTTAGCCGAGATACATAGTGTATACCTGCGTTAGCGTTAATGTTTGATTGATGTAGGATAAAATTTCCGGTTGCTCCTATTTAATGTTCTTATTTCGGAATTTTTAAAATCCTCTTATTTTCAAATTAAGTTAAAACATGAAACGCCCAATTGAAATAAGAAACCCCATTTCATGAATAAAATAGTAAAAATGATCAAATAATATATCGATATAACAATAAGAATATTTGGAACTTAACTTAAAAATAAAGTAGTGGTTGTCACTAAAAGAAATCCAAATATAGAATCTAATTTTTAAGTCTTGTATAAAAAAAATTTATTTTTAGATATACAGGATTTCTCCCTAGTAACATTTGTTTATTCGTTCTTTTTCTACCCAAAATTTTATTTAAAAATATGTTGATTTAACACGGACTACGTAGCATTATTAATAAAAAAATCAACTTGCGAAATAAACGAAATTTTTGGTTTAGTTATAAACATATAACCAAAAATATATACACAATTTTACAAAATTTATATGCGGAAACCGCAGACGAATTTCAGGTCTTATTTGCGGAAAATTTAAAAATTGTTGTGGCGTGCAAGCTCCGCAACCCAATTTTAGACACTTCATTTCACAGAAAATAAAAAAATTGGCTAGCATTAATCTAACCCTAAATTGAGCTAATATGACCTGTCTGTAGAATAACCTGTCTGTAAGAAAATTGAGCTACAATGGTTAATACATATTGACAACTGAGGTGTCTAAAATCTTTCAAAATACCAATCTACTGGATGATCTACGGACGGCTTAGTCGATTGAGGCGTATTAGATTTGGCGAGTGGGGATTGTGATTGTAGGTAAGTATCCTTCCTTTATCGCTGTTTGCAAAAAGGTGTGACCCCCATGATTTTTGTGATCATGCGGGGAAATTTTAAATAGAGAATTT